TAGGCGTAGAACGCGCTGGGGCTCGAACCCCATCCGGAAATTGTCGCTGGGGCTTTGCCCCACCCGGGAAAATTCACCAACCTTTCAAAAATATTTAAAAAATAAAAACTATAATATACTTAAACATTAATAAACATAACAATTTAAAAATGATTGTAATATTTCCGCAAACACCTATGGTGTTTTAAGCTTTCAAAAGTTTAAGTTATTTTTCGAATTTCAGAAATTCCACGCTTCTGATGAGTCTCAAGGGAGTTTGAGATCGGTAAAAACGTAACAAAAAGCAAATTAACGGAATTACGTAAACTAAAGAGTTGTGTGAGTTAAACGTTCGTTTAGTTTTTTTTTTTTTTTTGACACTATTGGTAGTATTATTTCTATTAATTATTTATAAGTTTTGAATTGAAAATCATTTGAATTAAAAAAACGTAAGTTTTTGAAGAAATTTTTTAATCGTTCAACATTACATTGACTTTTAAGTTATAAGTTGTACAATGAAGAAGATAAGTGAATACTTTTCAAAAGAAGAAAATCAAATTGAAATAGTTGCATTATTTTTTAAATCTCAAAATCTAATAACTTCCAAGATAATACTCATGAAAGTTTATCATTTGTACAGTCGGATAATGCAACTCATTCAACCGCTGTTGTTGAGTCGCCGTCTTTTACAAAAGAGCCTGGACCTTGTTGTTCAAGACAGTTATCTTTACCATCAAAAAAGGAAAGAAAATTTAAACAAAGCTGGAATGAAAAGTATAAATGGGTTTTACATGACCGCGAAAAAGAAAAAGTTTTTTGTTCTACATGCATTAAAGCTACCCAAAATGAAAATGCCTTTACCTCGTAGTTCAAGAGAAAAAGATTCCTACGAAATTTTTCTTTTAAACTAGTTTTCTAATTGGAAAAAAGCGTTACAAATTTTTGCTTTTCACTAGCGATCTAAACTCCATAAGGCGTCCGTTAGTATGATCGCCTCAAGAAAACTGGAATTAACCGTTATCCAGCAGCTTAATCATCACCAAAAGAAAGAAATGATGGGTAAGCGTACGGCTTTATCAAAAATATTTACAACATTTCTTTATTTGGTAATTCCTCAATTTTGTTTAAGTAAAATTTAGATTAACTATCAATTGTTAAATTTATTTACTGGATCACTAAATGTTTGTTCTTAATGTATTAGGGAACGCAAGGCCTTGCCATTCGTAGAAAGGTTGAAAATAATTCAAACTTTCCCATGCTACTCAAGCAGATAATTCTCTCGAACTGAAGAAATGGTTGAATTGTCCTGAAAAGTGAAAGTAGCTCTCGCCTGAAATTGAAAACGAAATTCTAAAAAGTTTTTGGTCATGCAACGCTTCGTAAGCTATGCAAAAGTATAAGGGAATCAGAGTTCCAAAGTTTGATGACCAATAAAACAACGGATGTTGTTTTACTGGCCATTAAAAATGTCCGCGAAGTATCTATGGGAAAAATAGAGCGGGCAATTTACGTGCACTGCCGCGCTCATAATCTCAACTTGGTAGCACAAGATTCTGTTAAAAAACAAACAGAGATTAGGAATATTATGAATTTAGTGAAATCATTCATCGCATTTGCCCGTGGATTTCCAAAACGACTGTCATGTTTCAGAAAATTTTGAAATGTAGAAGATGTAGAAAGTGGAGCATCACTGCGGCCATTTTGCCCCACTCGATGGATCCTTTGAAAACCGTCCATTATATCTATTACGAGTAACTATTCATCAAGTGGTTATCAACCGCCATCGTCAACTGGTTAGAGGATTTTGAAAATCATTCTGATAATTCAGCCAAAAATAAGTCAGTAGCAGCGGGTTATCTGGAATCTCTTTGTAAGTTTGACACATTTTTTAAATTGGAAACTTTGCGCAAGAGTTTCACGGTAATCGAGGATGCTAATACAGCACTCCAAGATAAATATTATTTTATTTAATAGTTTTTTTTTAATATATTCTTTTAAGCAAATTATAATGTTAAACGTTTATTGTAAATCATTTTAGGCATGCAGCTTAATTTTTGCAAAGCAAGAAATACCATCAACACGCTTAAGGAGGTGTTAAAAGAAGTCCGGGGTGATATTCGCTTCAAAGTTTTATGAGATGCTGCCGTTGTAGCAGCAGAATGTAGTTTACTTGACAAACCAGAGATGCCACGGAAATGTAAAATTACATCAAAATTTACTGGAAGTAGAGTTTTATACTTTGCTACGATTCCAGAGAACCACTACCTTCAGCTTTTCTATGCATCTCTGGATTGTGTTATAACGGGATTTGCGACCCGTTTCGAGCCAACTGAGACCACTAAGCATTTAGCTAATGTAGAAAAATTTATCATTGGTCAGTGCTTGGAAGTTGGATTCGTTGAGGGTTTTTAAAAAGATGGCTTTGAAGATTATAGAAGGCTACAACTCCGTTGCGATATATTTGTGGATTGTGAAAAATTCAAGAATAATCAACTAAATGATTTTGAATCAGTTTTGAATGAGCTTGAAGACCATGATGGTGTCCTTTCTCACTTAATTCCACTGATTCCCGAGGATGTAAAGCTGGTGAAGATTTTACTATGTATGCCTGTCCCCTTATGTACGTGTGAGCGCTCTTTTTCTTGTCTTCGTAGGCTAAAGGCTTATTTGCGTTTACAATGTCTCAGGAGCGATTGAATCATCTCGCATTTTAAAGTGCCACCGCGATAATTGCCTTCACTCTTGATCTTGATCATTTGATCGATGAGTTTATAATGCGTGCCTTCATACGCATGAGCACATTTTTATTGAGAAAATAAATTACATTTTTATGCCCATCAAAAAAACTTTTAAATTTATTTTTTATTAAAGATATTCAACTCCTACAAAATAGTTTATGCCCCATCCGGGAAAATTAAAACTCTACCAATTTAAGACTTCGCACTAACGGACATATTTCCAGTTGTAGAACCGGACAATCAACAGATAGATTTGATAATCATGTTTATAATTGCCAACGTGCACATAATACAATTATAGATGCTTTCTTCCAACTTTTTGTTTTTTTGAAACTCAAAAATGAAAAAAATTTTATTTCCTATGAAAAACATCTCAACAAACAAAAACATGACACTTTTAATTGACATTTCCCGTTTAAAATCAAATAAAAAATAGACTATAATAGTTAAAAAGATTAAACTATGGATAATTATCATTTTCTGTTTAAAAACAAAAAAATATTATTATATATATATATATATATATATATATATATATATATATATATATATATATATATATATATATATATATATATATATATATATATATATATATATATATGTATATATATATATATATATATATATATATATATATATATATATATATATATATATATATATATATATATATTTTTTTTTTTTTCCCTGGACTCTCCAAATATATAAATATTATGCAAATCTTTATCAAAATTTTTATGATTTGAAAAGCTAACATCGAAATTAAGAAAAAGTTTGTTGTTAATTTTTATTTTAGTAGTAGTATTATGGACATCTTTTGGGCGTTTAACTTTATACTGTTGTACACTAAATAGATGTCTATGCTGACATACACCGGCTCCTCATATGTATGCTGGAGGTTTGGTTGACAGCTTTTTTTGAAGGAGACGGGCAGGCGAAAATTTAAAACGTGAAAACGTGCACAAATTTTATTTATTATGAGGTCTAATATGAACATGTTATGCTATCAGATCATCACTGATTTTCACTGCCTATAAAGAACTCAAGCATAGATAGCAGCTACGTAAAAGTACTTTATTTGTGTTTTGCTTAAAAGGTCAGGCTATAAACATGTGTCATAACCCCATTATGAGGTTATGAAACATGTTTATAGCCTAACTTTTCAAGCAAAGCACAAAAATTATACTTTTAGGTACTATTGAATCATGGATTTTGGCTTGTTTTATATTGAATTACTTGTTGCTACTTACTTCTTATGGTTGCATCGCCTAAGTCTGAGGCAATGCAACCATAACAAGTAAGCAGCTACGAGTGATTCAATGTAAAACAAGCCAGTTTCTATGATTCAATGATTTAATATGAAAGCAATTTCTGCCAATACTAGTTTTGAAATCTTATATGTTTTCCAAAACATTATCTACAAGACATTGAGTTTTTCTGTACTAAAGAATGAAAACTAAAACAATAAAGAAAGTTAAAACAATGGGAAAAAAATTAAAAAATTATACAAAATGTAAAAATAAAAAGATTATAACTTGCATGTTCCAATATTGAGTGATAGATACTTTAATTTTTTTTTAATTATTTTTTTTAAGTAATTATTGATACAAATTAATATTGCCACATACTTTGCACTTCGTTGGGCATCATCGTGAACTTTCAACATAAAATTTGCTAAAATTTTATGTTGAAAGTTCATGATGTGAACTTTCAACATAAAATTTTAGTTTGATTGAAAGTATGTGGAAACGCTTTAGTGGGGTGGGTACAGGCACCCACCCAACCTCTTTTACACACTGCAAAGATTGACTACTAATAGTTACATTTCCGATTATCCTTTGAATCAAAGGATCTTTGTTTTTTTACCTTTTAACTTTTATATTTATTATTTTTTATACTTTTTTCGCCAGATTAGTTATTAGTTTCTTAAATCTAATTTCTGAAATAATTTTTCTTTGAGTCCTAATTTTTATTTCTGGCTAAATTACTTGATTTTAAAGTAAATAAATAAACTGAAAAAAATATTTAAATATACTTTTTTGTCAATATGTTAACAGATACTTTTCCTTTTGTTGGTTTCTTCATTAGAGATCTCAATATTAGTAAACAATATTGAAAACTTTTAAATCAAAATAACAATATTTTCTATTGATTGTACCATTGCCATATACTGATACAACTAAGCAACATAAATTTTTGTTTTATTTATTGTTTATATAATTTTGCACTTATGTATTGCTTATATATTTCTGCATTATGTTTATCTTTATATTTTTTAAGCAACTTGGCATTTCAAATCAGTCTAACAACGAACTTCGTAAGCAATATTTACAAAGCAGACAAAGAGAGAGTGAAAGACGAAGCCTTCAGTGTAAAAATGAAGAGAAAAAAAGTTCACCTGAAACATACAAAAAAAGTACATTGCATTTGCCTTTAGTTTCATTACGCTGTTCAAATCGTGATCTTCGAAAGTCTAGCTGTCCTAATTTATTAAGTCCAGTAAATGAAGAACAATTTAATACTAATAAACATGAAGAATCAAGTGATTCAAAATTTGCAAATAGTTACCCAATATTATCTAAAAAATGTTCAATGGACTTTAATGATTGTCAAAACAATGAACATCAACACAAATCAACTGTAATTAATCACAGAAGTAAGACTGCAACCAAAAAATATATTCAAAGAGGATTTACTCAACCCAATATCCCATTTGGTTTAAGAAGAAGTAATGAGAATATAGGAAATTATCAAGCTCACTCGTTAACAAATCTAGCTTTACCACTTAGTGAAATGGAATCAAATGAGGTTTATTAAGTATCTATTTTTTAATACTTTTAATTATTACTAATAATTTTCTAATAAGTAATTAGAATGAATAATTAATTTTTATAATTTATTATATTTTAAAATAATGTTTCTTAATACTAGCAGTAAGCAACCCGTAATACGGGTTGTTAGTAAAAAAATGACGTAAGTCGACTATTAACTACTACTATTAAATTAGCGTATTAATATTATCAGATAATTAACTGTGACCTGAATAATTCTCATATAATTATCTTATATCCTATTTTAAATGTGGTTGTTACAAATAATCGTAAGAAAAACTTTGGTGAAGTTGATAAAATGATAGTTTGGTAATATTTAAAAAGAGGTTGATATTAAGAGATTTTTTATTAATCATAATACATAATTTTAATAATAATCATAATACATAATGCATAATTTTATTAATCATAATCCAGCCATAATTATTTTTTTTTTATTACCATTATTTTTGTATAATAAAAATCAAAATACTTTTAGGCATTTCTAAAAAATCTTGCTCAGAAACTCGTATATGTTTGGTCTATTATTTTCATAATAATAAAACTGGCGATCTCCAATTTTCTCTCATTTAATTCTGACCTACATAAATATTTTGTAAACAAAAAATGGTATACATAATTCAATTCAATATTCAATATATATATTCTGAAATAAGTTGTAAAATTTCAAGGACTTTAACAAATAGTACAAGTACTAATCTAAAGTAAAAACCTACAACATTACAATAAAAGTGATTATAATAACAATAATAATAGTATTGATAATAATTATAGAAATAATATTAACAATAATAATAAGATGACGATGAAAAGGAATATTATTAGTAATAATACTAACAATAATAATAAAGATATTATACAATCAATATTAGATAATAGCAATAATAGTGGTAATAACAATTACATAGTATAAGTAGTAAATAAACCTAAGAAAAAATTAAAAAAGCAATAATAATACTTATTATGTTATGAATAAAAATAACAATTTACTAATAAAGATGGAAGAATATTATTAATATCAATACTAATAATAACAATAAAAATATGAGAACAAAAAGTTAATAATAAAACTAGGTAGGTATCAAGAAAGTAGTAATAATAAAAGCATAACAAAGAAATGTTAACAAAGAATAAATTAATTTTGAAGGGGAATCACTCGCAGAACAGAAAAACTCAAATTTTAGTCACTAGATAAATAAACATTAATTCCTCGGAAAATTTAAGTTTCAGGGTTATATATATCTTTTTTAATAATGTTTTAAACATATTAGTAAAGTTTTCCAGAAAGTTAGAGGATTGCACTATGTATCATAGAGTCACAGTAATCGTTTAAATGCAGTTTATGAATGATCACGCACGAAAGTCACACACGGAAGTTGCAAATTAGTTAATTTCATGTAGATATTTTTAAGGAAATAAATTGCTTGTTAGTATTTTAAGTGAAATATTATACTTTTACGACTCATATTTAATATATTTTCGATGAGAAATGGTAGTCATCAATTATTTCTAGATAAAGTGTAGCGTTTTAAAACTGTAGCGATATTAATATGCAAGTTTTCAAACGGTATGTAGCGATATTATTACGCAAAAAAATTAAAATGATCAAAATATATATATTTAACATATTCAGGTGCTATAAATGTTTTTTAAGAAAATCATAATAGTATGCATATTACTATAAATCCCAGCTTTTAATTGCTAAAACAAGGAGAAATAAAAAATCCCCCACAGAAATATATATATATATATATATATATATATATATATATATATATATATATATATATATATATATATATATATATATATATATATATATATATATATATATATATATATATATATATATATATATATATATATATATATATATATATATATATATATATATATATATATATATATATATATATATATATATATATATATATATATATATATATATATATATATATATATATATATATATATATATATATATATATATATAGGGTTGCCATATGGTAATCACTGAAAAAGAAGAGATTTTACAATGCATTTTAAATGAATGGGGGGGGGGGTCCCATTATTTAGCAAGGTAGTTCCAGAGTGGACCCCATTAATAAGTATTAAATAAATAAAAACTTTTTTTTTTTTAAATTTCACTTTTTTTTAATACAAATTGCTGGTTTTGCAATTAAAATGAACCTAATTTTAATTGCAAAACGTTCATATTTAATTTTATTGCTGTCTTACAATCAAGTCTTTTTAAATGGTATATTTCAATATAGAATAGAATAAGTTATTCTATATTAAAATGTACCGTTTTAAAAGACTTACGAAACATAAAAGCTATATAAATGCAAGCCATAAAATAATCCTCCATTATATAACTTGTCTCTATTGTAATCTTGTAATAATTATTCACTTATATCTAACTAATCACTTGCACCAGTTTTGATTTTCACTGTCATCAACCAATCATTTTTCGGAACAGAGCAAGAACTATAATACCAAGTATACTTTTTAACCAAAATACCAAGTATACTAACTATACTTTTTGTTGAACCCATTATTTTCAATGGGTCTTTGTTTGATAACAAATACTTATGGAACTCATAAGTTATAAAATTGGTCATGGAACAATGATTTATTAGCATAAAAAGAAGCTTTTTTATTTACAAATAAAATTGAGTCTTCAACTTTATCCCAAACAGGGTTGCTATCTAGTTTCATCCAACTGAAAAATTTTAACTCATGGTATTGACTATTAATGGTCGCTCTCCTCGATTTAGCCTAGCTATATGAGAGTAAACTATCCAGAATGTTGATTGTACATATATTTTATAACTTATAAAATTCTTATGTAAAACATCTATATTTCTGGTAAATTGCTTTTTGTTGTTGTTGTTATTAACGGGTCAAAGGTTACGCAACTTACGTAATCTTTACTTATTTATTATTGTATATATGCATTAGATAAATAAGATTAACATAAGGAAATTCGTTTATCTTTATAAGAAACAGAATTATATGATCCAGTTTGGCAAATTTTGAATTTGGCTTTAATTCACATTCACACTGCGTAAAGCTTAAAACGAGAATGCGTTTTTAAGTTGTAGCCGTTAGAAATGACCAAACATTGTTAGAATATAGTTCTGTTTTTTACACAGTGGGATGGAAAAAATCAAGCGGATGGAATAATTTACTATAATTGTAGGTTATTCCATCCCAATGTGTAAAACACCAAATTGAAATTAATTTTACAACTTTTTTTTTTTCCATGTTTATTTAGTAAAGATAATGGTCATTTAAAAGTCGTTTACAAATTTTATTTTCGCATGAATCAAATAAATGTGGCTAATACGCAAAGGGATGGAATAAATCAGGCAGATGGATAAATCTACTTTAGTAGTAGATTATTCCATCCCAATGTGTAAAACATCAAATTAAAACTACTTTAATAACTTTTTTTTGTTTTGTTTCCAAGTTTATGTTGTAAGGATGATGATCATTTAAAAGTCGTTTACAAATTTTTCATTCCCATGAATCAAGTAAATGTGATTAATACGCAATGGGATGGAATAATCTACTTTAGTTGATTATTATTCTATCCTAATGTGTAAAACATAAGATTAAAACTACTTTTATAACTTTTTGTTTTGTTTTGTTTCCAAGTATATGTTGTAAAGATTATGGTCATTTATAAGCCGTTTACAAACTTTTATTATACGCAGTGGGGTGGAATAAATCAAGCGGATGAAATAATCTACTATAGTATTAGATTATTCCATCCCAATGTGTAAAACATCAAATTGAGACTAATTTGAAGTTTTTTTTTGTTTCCATGTTTATTTAGTAAGGATAATGGTCATTTAAAAGTCGTTTACAAATTTTTGGTTCCCATGAATCAAACAATTAATACGCACTGTGATGGATTAAATCAGGTGGATGGATTAATCTACCACATATCTCCTTTTGTGAATCGTGCAATTTGAGATATATGATACTGGTATTGAATAATAGTAAAAATATAATTAGTATAATTATTAGTCCAACAAATCATAATTATATTAGTCTATATTGATTTATTAAAAAAAAATTTTCTCCAAATTTACACATTTTTTATTATGTTTTTAAGTTCGATTGTTGCTATTTCTTTTGATAAATTAGTATTGATTTATTAAAAATATTATACAACCCTAACCCCCAATCAAAATACTTTACACCTTAATGTTATTAAACGGTCACGACTTTCGTTATCACATAGTCAAAAAATTTTGTTCACCACATTTTGAAAAAAATACCAGATTTTTCTTGACAGCATCAACGCAAATATAGCAAAATTCTTTCTTTTTGGAATGACATAGATGAATCCAAGGGTAATCTATAACTCATTTTTCATTTAAAAATCTAAGTTGTTTGCCATACATTTTTTGGGTTGCTTAAATATCGGCAGGATTTACTTCTATTTTTTCGGCATTCCACTCACAGCAGGAACAAGCAGGAAAAGATTTTTCAATGTCGTGTCCTTCTTAAATAATTTCTTCCGTTGGTAAAGTTGGATTTATATAATATTCACAACCGTTAATCCCTCCCTTGTGAATTGTAAAACATTTTTCAAAGCGAACACAAAGTTATTATTTCAAATACAAAAAACTCTAATTATTTCCTAGAAGCAATTATGTTAAGTTAGTTTTCAAATACAAAATACTAACTGACCTCTAGGGGCTTTAAGTCGTGATTTAAAACAAGATAAAAACTTTGAAAATAATAATTTTACAGACTTGAAGTGTGTGTGTGGGGTGGGGTGGGGGAGGCTATAATACCAAAAGCTCCTACACTTTTAAAAGTGAAGGGGCTGAAGTTCCCAAAGCCCCCACTGTTCCGCCACCCCTGTATATATATATATATATATATATATATATATATATATATATATACATATATATATATATATATATATATATATATATATATATATATATATATATATATATATATATATATATATATATATATATATATATATATATATATATATATATATATATATATATATATATATATATATATATATATATATATATATAAGTAAAATACTTTATTTATGGAACCTGGTTATGTTCAAATTTTTAAGGTTGCTAACATTTCTAAAATTGCAGAGCAACAATAAATATTGAGTGATTTTCTATTTTGCAGAATAGCAAAATAAAGCAATTACAAACAAATAATTTGAGCTGCAACAGCTGTTTTAGAATTATTCTTAAATTATAAAGCAGATATAAAATATAATGATTGTATGAATGCAGCCATGTTGTTATTAGTTTTACAATGTTTGAAAAACAATGAATGTTGCCATTAAAAATCACATCTACTAAATGACTTTTATGAACTTACTCATCATAATACAAAATTTACTTAATACCTTTTATAATACTAAATTTACTCAATATAATTCTAAAATACTAAATGTTTTTTTAATGTTATTGTTAACTTGTTTTTATTAGTATTGTAAAAAAGTTTAGAATTTCTAGATTTAAAAAAGTTAGAATTATTGGACAGTATAATTGAATCGTTTATATCAGAAACCCATTAAGTGCGCTTTTTTAAATTTTTGGAAAATTAAAAAAAATTCTAAATTTTAAAATTAACTAAGGTTTGGGCTTGGGCAAAATTAAAAGTGTTTCTTGTTGTTTTGTAAAAAAAAAAAAAATGTTAAGGGTTAAATTATAATTTTTTTTAAAAAAACATTAAAAATTTTTTTGTACTTGACAAGATTCTGCAATAAAATAAAATAAAATTTTGCCTAAAAAAGTTTTTGGCTATAATAATGGTTTTAAAAGCAGTTGGTTGTAAATAAAAAAGCATATTACCTTTATGTTGTTCTGAATCGTCTCCTTTTGTTTTCTATAAAATTTCTTGGTTTTCTTAAAAGTATATAGTAAAAACTAAAATTTTACTTTTTCTAAACTCAGGGTGTCCATTTGAAGTATTACAAACATTTGAAATATTCAACTCTGCATCCAAATATGCACCATAATGTGTTTCCCCATTTCAAATTTTGAAATATGTTCATAGATCAACGCACATGTAATGCCACCAATTGCATTTTCACTACACTTTTTGCTTCACATATCAACGGATATTTTATTCTGCAGAAATAGACTTAATAACCTTGCAACTCAATCACGAGAAACACCAACTTTATATAAAAAAAAACTTTTTTGCAAACTGAATGAAACTTACCATTGATTCTCACATTGTATAAAAATACTTTTTATTTGTGAGGTTTGGATTGAACATGAAGTAAATCATCTCAGATAATACTGCTTTATGTTTAATCCAAACTCAGATTCTGAGGTTGTTTTTTTTTTCTACATTTGACTGCTTAGTTTCTATTAATGTTTGTAAATGTAAATCTTGTTCATTTTTAGTTTTCAACCAATAAAAGCTATTCCAGATTGCATTTTTTGTTTCATTTCAATATGCTATTCAAATCGCAATAAGCTATTCCAATCGCATTTTTAGGAACAGTTACACGCTAACTCATCAGAGCTAGTGTGTAACTGTCTCTGAAAATGCGGATAAATTTACCAGAGACAAAGTCACCTTTGTTGTTTGTGTATTCTTTACCTTTTACTCTTGCTTTTCTAATGACATTGTGTTTATACATATATTAATTTACAATCTCATTTTCTTTTTGTTTCAAGTTCATCATCAGAACTATTTTCATTGTGCATTTTTCAAAACAAACACTTTTAAAGATCAAATTAAAATACTGTTGTAAATCACTTTTTTAAGCCTCTAGGAAGCAATTAGAGTTTTATATTTGAAATAATATCTCTATGTGTTTGCTTAGAAGCACATTTTATAATCCGTTTGGGAGTGAGTAATGGTTGTAAATTTTATAATTCACGACCATTAATCACTCCCTGGTAATAGTTACAATTGATAGTTTTATTTAAAAAGAGTAAATATTTGTAAGTAAGAAGACTTACAGTCAGGTGGTTATACAAAAATGAAGCATTAATAAAAATAGCAATTTGTTTAATGTCTCTGGGAAACTAATAATAATTTCCCTACAATACTAAACAATAGTATTAACCATAAATACTGTAAATACTTTTCACAAGAATGTGGGAATGGATAGTTAGGAAATGTGGCACCATCTATATTTAAATATGAGAGCAAAACAAGACAAACACAAAATTTACCTTAGAAAGCCACTATGTAATTTCACTTGATGGGTTTCTACATTAAACGTAAATTTAAAGACAAAATGCAACTCATTAGAATGCTCAATAGTTCACAAGTTTCTGCATATGATGATGTGACTAAAGTTGGCTATTTATAATTTATAGCCATAAATAGTTAAAGAGTTTATGAAATAAACAATACAATTGTAATTTATGGCTCCCATTTTTTTTTTTTTAAATTTTACTTCACCTCCTCAAGGCCGAGAAGGCCACTACAGACAAGGAAGCTACCATTATATTTTAAATATACAACCATTTCTGGTTGTATATTTAAAATATAAATTATTTATGAAGTATCATTTTCTATTTTGACTTTGTCTGCTATTTTTTTCTTATATTAAAGTCATATTGTTTTTAAATTTATAACTTATACTTTTTTTCTTAAGAATCAACTTGATATTTCAAACCTGTTGAACAGTGATTATTACAAGGAGTATTTACAAAGCAAACAAAAAGAAATTAATAAAAATAATATCTCACCAGATCACAAAAAAACCTCACCTCGTTTAAACTTAATGCACAAAGAAAAGTACTATAGTCTTCGAAAGTGCAGCTGTCCAAATTTACAAAGTCAATTTGATGAACAACAACCTTTTTATGTTGAATGCGATAATTTAAGTCAATCAAAGTCTGAAGGTAGTTCGCCTCAATTGTCTAAAAAACTTACAAGTTCTTTAATAAACATTCCAGATTTTCATAAGCAAGAACACCAATGCAAGTCAATTGCAAATACAATAAGTCACCAAAGTAGAGACAAGAACAATAAATATCCTCAACAAGAGCTTACTCAGTCTGATGACGCAATTGATTTACAAAGATATATGGAAAGTTTTGGAAAGTATCGATCTTATTCCTTAACAAACTTGTCTTTTCTCATAAATGAGAAGAAAACACAAGAGGTTTGTTAAAATTTTTATGTTTAACTTTAATTCTAAATCTTTTGATAAATATATTTGAATTTAATAAATAGAAAAAATTTAGATTAGTAAACACATATATAAACTCCCACTCCTAATAGAGAGGTATTTCATACTGGATTTTAGGTCTCATAGTCAACGACACGGGTTTTGAAGTGGGGGCACAATCGTGAATTTTTTAAAAAAAGTCTCTAATTCAAGAGTTTTCTTGAAAAAAAATATCCTTTTGAAAAAAAGTGTGTGTAAGTGTGTGTGTGGGAGGGGGGAGGGGTTGACAGGGGAGGGCGAAGACCCCGGTGTCATTGGCCCTGGGTCTACATTCCATCATACTTTTAGGTTTTATATATATACACTTATCTTTATTTTAGTATTTCCCTATCATTATCTTTATTTTAGTATTTTCATTATTATCTTTATTTTAATATTTTTCTTTATTGACATGTGTATGAAATACGTACATCTAGTTCTAGTTATGCAATACTTGTATTATCCATCGACTATAATTACAAACTACAAATACTGTATAATTAAAACTAGTTGTACTAATTTCATATATATTCCTATAAAAAAGACATTTCTTATTCAATTCTGTAATTCTAAAACCGAATCCTTATAAGTAAGATTGTTTCAGGTTTAAATTGAAACTAAAGGAATATATATATTTTTTCAAAAACAGTACACTGTACACACAGTAACGTAGTAAGGTTTTTAAGTGTTTGAAATAACCAACTTTTAAACAAAAAGAACATTTTTTTTTACGTTCATATGCATGACGAAAAAATTCTTCAAAAAAAAAAAAAATTACTGCGAAAAAAATATACATATATATATATATATATATATATATATATATATATATATATATATATATATATATATATATATATATATATATATATATATTTAAACTACAATAAATATTATTTCTCTTAATACTATATTTTTATTATTTTTATAAAAAATTTTGTATTTTTGATAACGTCTTCAGCCTAAAAAACAAACAATAATGTATCAACTAGTATCAAGAATCTAGCATAAAATTTTTAAGTATAGTACTAAAAGAAATCGTTTTTATTGATGTTTATAAATTAGTAAAACTCTCATCTTTAAAAGTCATATTCTTGTTATATGATATATTAATAAATATTTAAGATTAGTAAAAATTCAGTTAAAAAAGGCAGCATTTAAACTATATTTAAAATATATTTAGATTTAGGGGCCATCCATAAAGAACGTCATCCAAATAGGGGGGGGGGGGTGAGGGGTCGAGTTAAAAAGGACAAAAAAGGACAAGTTGGGGGGAGGGAGGTTGTCAGAAAAGGACGTCACTTTATAGATTTTTTGTTTTAGTTTAATTAACATGGAAAACTACGTAAACGTGTTTTTGAGAAGATAATGTATGAGAATATTTTTAGTTTTATTTTTAAAAGGTGTAGCAGCAGGTTCAAACATCATTGCAAGATGTAATAGAGCTAAAAATAGGGAGGGGGTCAGGATTTTATGACGTCGTTTTCCAGGGGGGTATAGGGAAAAAGGACAACCGGTGACAAAGGAGGGGAGGTGTTCAAAAATTGGCTAAAAAATGGTGATATCCTTTAAGGATGGCCCCTTAAAATTTTATATACTAATTTTTTTATCAGTGCAAATCAGACTGAAATATTGCTTTAAAAAGAAAATTATTTAGTACGCTGCTGTTTTTATGTTTTATAACTTATTTTAATTTTACGCAAAACAAGAAATTTTCGTAAAACACATAAATATATTTAGCGATATTTCGCTGATTTATTGAGGTCAGCGTCATCAGGTTATAAAAAATCTGTTTTATGTTACATAAAACAAAACCGTTTAAAAAAGAAGACATTAAAAGGCGTAAAATATAAAGTAGTATAATAGTGATGTCAGGGAAATTTTTGTTTAATCCGTCAACTTTTTAATTATAGTACAATTCGAAAATACTTCTCAATTATTCCTCCCAACGTCAACGCGAAGCTGAAGAAAGATATCACTGGCGTTTAAGTCGACTGGATTCATTTGAAGGAATGCTAGCCAAGGTCAATTCGTATATAAATGAAGAAAGAAGGAATTCAAATCCTGACCTAAATCAAAAATTTCAATGAACATTTTATTTTTAACTATATTTATTACAATATATTTATGTCATATTTATTCGAGTATTTTTATGTCATATAACTTTTAAATTTTAGTTTTTTTTTAGGTTATTAAAAACATCCTTTTAAATTTGTAAATCTTTTATAAATAAAATAAACTACTAAATGATCAACTTTTAATTTCTAAAATCAGGACTATTAGACAGACTTTTTCCTTACATTATCTTTGTTGGGTGCATAACATTGATTTATTATAAACAGTTTTTATTAAACTTTTTTTGAACACAGTACAACCAACATCTTTTAACGTTAACTTCATCCTCGGCTTAAAAAGCGTCGCTGCATAGTGGGACATTTTTACAATCTAGAGGGGCAAAACTCAATCTTTGTGCTACATAATTATAGTCCTTAATCGTACATAGTGGTAATGTGTATTATATATTAATTGTTTTATTTACTCATAGATAATTAAATTATTATATTATTTTCAGAGTTAACTAACCATACTACAGGAGACCAAAATTTAAATACTTTTTAATTTAATTTTAAAGCCATTGTGTCATAACATGGAACTATAAAACAGATGGAAGTTCAACCACATTTAAATGCTTCGGGTCTATGTTTGTAAACTTTTGTTTTGTAAACAAACAAAAAAACAACATCAAGGCTGTACTTAAATGCCTAAATTCTTTATGATGTATTTAAACGCTTAAATTTAAAAATATGGTATTAAAAATATTTTAACTTAAATCCGTTTAAAATATAGTTATATAGATAAATTGATTGCATATTATATATTTTTTCTTTTTTTTAAAAATGAGCAAAAAACTCTTAAACGTGAAAATTGCTATATGTAAACTTAAAACGTATCCTTCTATAAGAAGAAAATACAAAACTAAAAAAAGAAAGTAGTGAACTTAAAAAATTGGTGGAGTTTCTTAGCGAGAAACATGAATTGTTCAAGAACTTTCTGAAATAAAATCCAAACTCAACATCAAATCAAAAGGATATAACAAACGTTATTGTCAAAGACAAATTAGCTGAGTTGGAAGACAGGAGCAGAGGAAATAACCGAAGGTTTACGGAAATTGAAGAGAACGAAAATGAAACATAGGAATTGAGCGAGGAAATGATTCAAAATGTTTAAAACAAAACTTGGATTTTAAGGTAATGTTGAAATTGAACAGACGTTCAGCAGGGGGAAAAAAAGTAGCGAGGGAAAAAAGTACAACAGAACCATAATAGTAAAATTTTGAAACTACAAAGACAAAAACTGCGTTGGATAACCATGTTAGTTATAATCGTAAAACGATGAGTTTTACGTAAACAAAAGCTACAGCGAAAGGGCGTTGTAATTGCGAAAACAGTTATTCAAATATCTGTTATTTAAAACAGTTATTTAAATAACTGCTTCTTTAAATATTTAAAGAAGCAAAAGATTTGAGAGCCAAAGGTAAATATGCTAAAGTTGTATATAATAAAATTGTAACGCGCAACTTTTAAGAACTTGTTTTATCTAAGAGTTATTGATTTTATCTTTGTTACTTTTTTTTAATTTTCATTGTTTTTAAATACTAAAATGGGTTCAAATCACTTGAAGAATTTTGATATTTTTCAATTCATTGGTTTTATACTTAACAAAGAGGCCGATCCGGATCAAAGTTGTTTTAGTGAAACAGATCATGAAACAGATGCTTTACATAGCAACTGCAGCTAATTTTATAATTTTGAAATTAAAGAATTTTGTGAATGTTTAAATTTAGTGCAACTCTTATAAATATAAGAAGTTTACAAAAAAATTTTTAATCTTTGCAATAGTTTTGAGAAAAATCTAACTATTTTTAGTGTAATATACTTAACTTAAACTTAGTGTAGTTCTGATGACTCAAATTTAGATAATAATTTTAAAATACCGGGCTATAGTTTGATTTCATTAGGGTGGAAAACAAGTAAATGCGGGGGTGTTTGATTATTTATGTAAAATATATCCTACGGTATTATATTAGGTATGACATGAGTTTTTATTTCTGACATCAATAAAGAGGTTCTTACGATTGAAATATATATAATACGATTGAATAATAAAATATTGTGATTAGCTGTTGTTATCGCCCACCTATTAGTGAAATTAAAACCTTTAGTACATTTTTACGCGATGATGTTATGAATAAAAGCAACCACAAAAGAAATTACTTTACATATTAGGTGATCTGAATTTAAACTGCTTTGAGTATCACGTCAAAAAAGAAATTAATAAGTTTTATAATGGTCTATTTGAAAATGGAGCACTTCCTTTAAAAAACATACCAACTAGAATTACTCAACAACTTCCTTAATTGATAACATTTTAACCAACATTATTAACTAACGATATTTTTAATAATTCGGTTAAAAAATGCATAATGAAAAGTGACATATCTGATCATTTCCCTATTTTCTTTTCGATAGATATTTATGCGAAAATTTTATATAGTGAAAAAAAATCATTTAAAAACCGAACTTTTCATAATAAAAAACCTAGAATCTTTTAAATATCAAACTATCTTAAGTTGATTGGGACATTATTAACTTTTCTGAAGACAATTTTCTGAAGACAATTTAATATATAAACCTTTTTTTTTAATTTTTAATGAAGTTTATGACATCAATTTTTCCAAAGTAGAAGTAAATTATAAACAAAAAAATTAAATCGCCATGGATTACTTATAATATTTTAAAATCTTCTAAAATTAAATAAAAACTTTATATTCAATATCTATTTAATAATACTGAAGTTACATGCCCGTAGACATCTTTTTTTTATGTCTGAGCTAAGGAACTTTAAACATGAAGAATCATATTTATTTCAACTCCATATTTAAGTATGTTCATATATATGATGCAAAAAATTGCGGTGATTGGAGACTGGGAACAACAAAAAACTCAAAACGTTAGCCCCCCCAGCCCCAAATAGGAGGGCAATGAGTCAAACTTGTTATTTTTATTTTATTCTCAAATTTAATTTTTATTCATCGACAAATTATAAATTTTATTCATTAATCTCTTGTTGTTCGGCTTTTACAATATTTTAAAGTTTACAAATTGAGGGGGCTGTAAGCTTCATATGGTCATAAAAGCCGATCAAAAAAATATTATTGAATCAAATTTGAAATTCGTACAAATTAAGTTTAAGATTAAAATAATGATAACAAATTTTACTGATTGCCCTCCTATTTGGAGCTGGGGGACTAATGTTTTGGGGTTTTAATTGTTCCCAATCTCCAATTACCGCAATTTTTGCATAACATTCTCATTCCTCATATATATGAACATACTTAAAAATGGAGTTTTCTTTAAGTTTCAAAATTGCTTAACTAAAACATCAAAAAAAGTTGTCTACGGCCTTGAGTTAATAGTAGTAATAGTAGTAGTAGTAGTAGTAGTAGTAGTAGTAGTAGTAGTAGTAGTAGTAGTAGTAGTAGTAGTAGTAGTAGTAGTAGTAGTAGTAGTAGAAGTGCGCTTTCGAGCCCGTTTGACACGGTACCTTTGATAGCGATTGCAAGCGAGGTAATGGTGAGAAAGAGTCGCAGCAGCTTTGTTTTATAAGAAAATGTGAATGAACGTGTATCCAAATAATTAACGTAATGAACTTTAAATTAAGTAATGTTAAAACATATGTTAAAGTATTCTAAAACATTTATCATGTTTTACAGTTTGATTTTCACTTGAAAGTTGCATTGCGTTAAGCTCTCCTTAGTTTTGATCTATAACATTTTTTCCCTTAAAAAAGTTATTATATTATTTAAATAATATTAGCTGGAGAATGTGCTAGTGTGGCCGAGTGGATAGGGGCCGAGCTTCTGAACAAGTAAGTCGAGGTTCGATTCCTGCCACTGGCGACTTTTTTTTTTTTCATTTTTTTCGATTATTTTAAAATACAAAATACTTTTGAAATTTTATAGAGATTATGTACAAACATATGTAACAATATTATACACTTTTACAAAAAAAAAAATATTTTAAGAATGCTAAAATTTCATAAAATATCAAAAAAAAACATCACCGGGAGAAAATATTTATTGCGTATGTGTCATGATTAAGATACTTATGTTATTAATGTGCTCAGGTAATTAGTCCTAATAAGCTGCGGATGGTCTGAAAAAAAATTGTATGAAGCTTAATAAAGAAAAAACTTAATAAGAAAATCCTGCTACTCAAGAAGGGAAGGTGCTGCTGTGAAGTTGATGCCCCAAGAAGTCCTTACAGTCTTATTACTGAGCACTGTGGAAGAGTATTTAATACGAAGATCACGCCTCCTTCCCAACCGATTTTGCAAAACTTACCCAGAGGTGGGGTTTGAACAACGGATCTTACGTTTCTGAGGCAAGTGTGCTACCACTGCGCCACAGCTGCTTAACTTATTTAACGTTTTATTCAGGATCGTATGTAATAAGAAAACTTTTCTAACAATTACAAGCCTTTTTTGCTCAAGCTGTTATGTTTTAATTTTTTGTAGGTATAATATTATATTTTTAAAAATTGACAAGGTTGAAAAAGCACAAAACATAGAATTCCCATTCTTCTTTTTTTCCGTAGGAGAGCGCGACGCTCAACTAATTAAAACTGAAGTTTTCACTGCGTTCTCCTACGGAAAAAAGATGAGAATGGGAACCCTAACAAAACATATTGTCTCATTCAAGTAAAAAATTTAATTTTAGATTTGACCCTCTCTTGATAATTTCTAGTAGTTAAAATTACGTCATTTTATTGTTAGACCATTAAAAATGGTAATTGAGGCTTTTTCGTAAACCGTTGAAGCTACAATTTTTTTGCATTTATGACGTCGCTTTGTGGCAATAAACTACAATTGCAAACTAGAAAAAAGGTTTTATTTAAATTTTTTCCAAAATCTTTTTCTATTAAAGATATATGGAATATATTTTTATAGGATGCATTCTAATAAAGACAAAAACTATTTATTTATTACTATTGTAATAACTACAGTCTCTTACCCGTGAAATGATATATCGTACCAGTTTTATATAGTTTTATGCATTTGTATGCAACAAAATTAAAATTAATTACAAAATGTAAAAAAATGCAAAATAAACTTGACGCATAAACGTTTATTTTGCCACAAATCGGCGTCAATGCGCAAAATTATTTTTGCTCAGCTTTTAGATTAGCGTTTAATATTATTCTTTAGTTCGTAAACATAATCATAAGAATGAACTTTTTTTATGACTATGTTTTAGTGGTCTTAGATCTTTATAGTTCCATTTGTATAGCGTTACGTACAAACGTCTGGAAGTATAAGCATCATTAGCATGTCTTGAGTTTCCAGGCATTATATACCCCTATAACATTTTAAAGTTACGTTACGTCTCAATCGGTTACAATTGGTAACAAGGTTACATTCTCTACTTTTTATTCAACTATTAAGTAAATAAACTTGAAAATGCAGTAAATGTTTGTTCATCATTGCCGTATTGCTAAATACTCTCTTTTATTTTATTTTTATTGTAAAATAGCTTCGTCTCAATTCGTTACTTTGTCACGAAAAAACAAAAAGTCTCAATTCGTAACATTACGTCTTAATTGGTTTATTTTTAAAACTTTTTAAAGAGTAATTAGTTGAGACGTTACGTAACGTAACAAAATCTGGATTTGAGACGTAACTAAAATACAAACTCTCAAACATAAATTTTTCTAACGTTACGTTACGTCTAAATTCGTTACACTCTTACAAGTAAAAAATAGACGTAAGGTAACGTAAAAAAAAAAATAATATTTGTGACGTGTTATATATGAGGAATAATTTTTTATTTTTATACGTAACAAATCGTTTATATGGGTTACAGTAATAATATTTAAAATAAGGAATTAGATTGTTTGTGGGTATTTTTTTAAAAAAAAAGACTGCATTGAATTCAATGCATTTATAACTGCTAATAAAAAGAATTTGTTAAATAACGTAAATCATTAATGAAATATGGTATTCAACAATGCGTTCGTCGAGACATTAGTAACTAAAAAAAATTTCAGAAAAATATTTTTTAGTTAAAAAATTTAATTCGCAAAGTTGCAATTCATTAATTACAACCTGGCGAACAGAAACGTTTTTTCGTGAAAAATTTGTTATAAAAAAAAATTAGAAGTAATTTTTTGCACACTGATAAAAGTTAAAATAAATACCAGTATGGCCTTTTTTCAAATTATATAGACGTATTTTAATTGCGTCTAATATTTAAATCATTTAACGTTACATTACGTTTTATTTGGTCAAAAGCTATTAAATTTATAAGTTTAAAAAACAATTTTTTTTTAAATAAAACTCACAAGCAATCTAATCTAATTAAAAAATAATTTTTAATTTTTTTTAAATTTCAAGGTAAATAAAAATTCATATTATTATAAAATAACTAAACTAGATTGCTAGTGGTTTCGATTTAAAAAGAAACCTTTTAAATCTTACTAACGAAGTAAATCGTTGATATATCCGTAGACGGCATATAAAAACATTTTTATTATTAAGTTTTCTTTACAACTTTTTTTGATTATAACTTAGACTTCACTGCAGTAGAAAACATTATTTTGAGGTACATGAAACAATACACAGTTGATGTATAAACAGTCCATTGCGCCTGTACCTATTTTAGTTAGTCGATGTATGGACAATCTTTGCGCTTTTCCCTATTTAAATCAGTCGATTCGTTTTAAATTAAATTTATTCATTAATAAATATTGACTTACATGTAAATACATAACAATTTTGTATTAGGAAATTTACTCGAATAAACTTTAAACAATTTAACTTGAAACTTTTGGCAAAAATGTAATAAAAAGTATAAACGGAGCGGAACCGGTTTTTTCCTAGTTTGCTTTATAACTACAATCATTCTGGCTTAAATATTAATACAACTCTCATTAGATTAAACATTATACATTATTCACCGGGTTATTTTACTTTGCACGTTTTCGAATTAGAAATTAATCACCATCCACGTTTTCCAAGTTAAAACTAACTACCTCGTTTTTCTTTTATCACCTTATATTATCTTATATATTTCGTATTAACTGGTTATTCGTACATACGCAGCATTCACGCCGCTTTAGTGTTCGATATACCCAAGATGAAAGGTAACTTCTTCATTATTTCTTAGTTTTTATGTTTTTATGTTTTACATGTTTTTAGTGCTTCCATTTTACCATGTATCTCTTATTATATGTATACCAATTATATGTTTAGGTAATATAACTAAATAAGTTCAATTGCCTGTTGGTTGTTTATATACCGTTTTTATTTTGGTTATTTGTTACTTTGATTTTGTTTATCAATTGTTTCTACATTTTTTCTGTATTCATTGTGAATTGTTGTCTCATTATGTTTATTTGTTCGCATCAATTTGTCCTTTTTTCAAATATATTTTCTAAGTTAGGCATTTTTAAGCTCTAATTTTGCCATGTCGTTTACACATTTTCCAAATAACTATTCTAGTTTTTGAGTTTTTTATCTCCCATTTTTTAGCATTATTTAGCGCTTTTAACTTAAGATCACCCGTTTCCATTACTTTTTTATATGTGGCTTAATGCACTTAAATTCTACCTGCCCCCTCCATTCTGGTCTACTACATTAAGAGATCGTCCGTAAAGCACGTACGCTCGGATGCGGTAGAGGGAGTCTGCAAATGACGTAAATAAGGCGATGGGCAGGGGTGAATTATAAAAGTGATAAGATTAAGATAAGACTAAATTAAAAAAAACATCATAAAATGTTAGGTAGGTAGATTAAAAGCGTAGGTTTTTTTATTGAGGTGGAGGGTACTAAAGAAAGCGTATATCAAAATGCGGGGAAGCAAGGTACATCTCAATATTTTCTGAAAAAAAAATTTTCTAATGTGATAATGACCTATATATATTTTTTTAGATTGTTGTCTATTCCGGGTTTTTTCATAATTGTTGTTTAAATTAAAAAAAGATTTAGGAAAAAAATATTTATGCGCAAAAAAAGCAAAAAAGTTTTTTTTTTTTTTGGACAAATTTTGCAAAATTTTTTCCAGTCCAGTTCGAGTCAATGTTTCAAGAGTTTTAAATTTTTGTTTTTTTTTTAGGTTTGATATATTTATATATATATATATATATATATATATATATATATATATATATATATATATATATATATATATATATATATATATATATATATATATATATATATATATATTTATATATATATATATATATATATATATATATATATATATATATATATATATATATATTTATATATATATATATATATTTATATATATATATATATATATATATATATATATATATATATATATATATATATATATATATATATATATATATATATATATATATATATATATATATATATATATATATATATTATAGCTACAATTTAGAATGGATCCTTCCACAAAAAGAAAACTTCGAAAATTATTAAAAAAGTGCAACAGAATATTTTCGAACAATACTTTAGCGCAGCCAATGACTCGTTTAATGAGTGAAATTATTTCTAGCAGCGACAATTTGTTGGAGGAAGACCAAATTGAAACAACACCTATTGACTATTCCAAAAAAGGTATTGTTAATTATAATTCAGAAGGTAATATATCAGATACAAGTATCGATCAGCTGACAAACTCATCATTATAAGTATCTGATATCGATGTATCTACTGATGGTGAAAATGATAATTTTACTAGTGTGAGCAAATCTTTAAAAGATTTTGGAATCGAAACAGGTCAAAGCTATGCCAATATGAAAGTTCTTTTAGAAAAAATGATTATTCATCACACTGAATTACCGAGAGATCCACGAACACTGTTTAATATCTCTAAAAATGCAATTTTTCCTAACTTACATGATGTTTTTCCTGGTAAATACTACCATTTTGGTATTCAAAATGGTTTATGTCAACTCATTCCTATTTTGAAGCAAGCTTGTTTGATTGGTGAAAATAATCTATTTAAACTGAAGGTTGGTATTGATGGTTTACCTTTGTTTAAGAGCACGATTGCTGAATTTTGGCCTATAACAGCAGCAATTGATAAGATCAGTAATTCAGTATTTTTAGTTGGGTTGTATTATGGTGAAAATAAACCAAAATCATGTCAAGAATTTACATTTTATTTAGTAAATGAAATGAAACTTCTTTCTGAATTCGGATTTATTTTTGAAGAAATTACTTATAACGTCGAATTTTTATTTTGCAATTGCGACATCACTAGTCGACTATCTTACAAACAACTTATGAATCTTATAGGATCGCATATAATCTTATACTATCCAACAGGATATCTTACAGGATTTGTAAGATTTTATTTGTCTTTCAAATCCTATAGGATCATAAGAAATCCTGTGATTACCCATAGGGTATCTTAAAGGATTCGTAAGATTTTATTTGTCTTGAAAATCCTATAAGATCATAAGAAATCCTGTGATTATCCTGTAGGGTATCTTAAAAGATTCGTAAGATTTTCAATTTTTTAAATTTATGTTGAAAAATGAAAAACTTATCGGTCGTGGGTTTCGAAACCCGGATCACTAGACCATTAGTGCCTTACCACCTGCACTACACATCATTATAAGTATGGAAATATATTATAATAAAAATATATTATAATTAAAAAACAATTAAAAACTAATTTTATTGAATGTATATAAATAAAAGTGTTGTAAAATAATTAAATAATAACAAATAACTATATATATATATAAAATGCCGCCAAGAACTGTTTCGCCGCCCGGGACAGCAACATGATTGGCGTTCTTAATTATCGAAATTCTCCTATATTATCGGTAAAGGACCTTTGTTCCAAGGTACCTTCATTCTATTTGGTGCCCCTTGGAAATCTGCCGCCCGGGACAATCTGTCCCTTACGTTAAAATTAAATTATTACCAAAAAAATCTAGTTAAATTAAAATTTTTCTCGCAATCAGAGTGTACATTGAATTGCGTGACTTTCTGAGTAAATTGAGTCGTAGAGTGACGCGATTTAAATCATTAGGCATTATGAATTGCGGGAAAATAAGTAGCACTCAAGTGCTATTTATTTTCCCGCAATTCATAATGCCTTCCAATAGCGCATTCAAATCACGTCACTAGCGCATTTAAACACGTCACAAATCACAAAAATTAAGATATTAGATACAAAATTAAGATATTAGACTCTCAAACAGCATGTTCATTATAATGAACATGCTGTTTGAGAATCTAATATCTTAATTTTTTTTATTAGGGCATTTTTATGTAGGTAATGTTATTGGGCAGCAGCTTTAAGGCTTACCTATTTTTTTAAGTTGTTGGCACAGGGTGGGAGGAGGTTATTTAGAAAATCATACTTTTAATGCTTGGGTTTTTGATAAATTTTCTATTTTTCTTAACCTATTTTAAAAATTTGAGATCAATTAGTTTAACTTGTTGGATCATGATCAAGATCCAAAAAAGTGGGATCTTTTTTTGTTTATGCGACACAATGATCGCAAAAAGTGACCAACGGAGCCGTCCAGTTACGTAGACCTGGGAGATGTGAAAATAAAAACAGATTGAAGATGATGTCATTTAGGTAAAAAAAAAAAAAAAAAAAACATAAATTAATGCAAAGACTATTTAGTTGGAAGAGTAAAAGTTAGCAACTCAGGAAAAGGGGAATAAAAACTCACACTCTAGTCGTCTTTTAACAAATGATGAAATAATGATCTATGAGTAAACAAGTCAATAAAAATCCGCTGGTTTATAATGGTATTCATAACTAAAATAATTGCACCATACAAGTGTCTAATAAATGTGGTACTATATATGTTCTAAACTCTAGATAAGTTCTAAACTCTAGATATAGTACAGGCGGTGAGATCTGTTGCAAGGACACAATTTATTCTTTGTGGCTGGTGAGCCCCGACTTTTTCTAATGTACACCACAACGACAAAACGGACATTAGGCTATCCCGCTGGATGTGGTTACGGCGCTCAATAACCTAATGACTACGCTAACACTCACGCACACGTTCAGTCGGAAGCTCCACAATGCACGTCGGATCAGCGCTCGCTGACTATGTGGATCTGAAATCTCACTTCATAGCACATCATTCCACACCAGCACGGGGCAGTAGCTCTTTTGGTTAAGAGTGATGGTTTGTGGCCTACGGTGACTAATGTGTGCATTCGATCAATTGAAATCCATTCTGTAGGTCTTACGTCTGGCTCTGATGTGCTAGCCCATAAGCGCAAGAAGTGAGTGTGTTTAGCTTTCTATTCACCCGATTTGAAAGTGAACGGAAACATAACGAGACCATACTAGACGACAAACGGTACATACTAATGCACTACACCATCACACCGGTAGACATCAACAGTCTTCAAAATCAGTATATCAAATATTTGTTCTTTGTTACATATGATCTACATACAGAGTGATTAGAGTGTTAGTTGTTCTCTCCTTGCCCTCCGAGCATTTACTTCGTTCTTTACCTTCACAAAAGTCTTATCACTCATTTTATATTTTCATATTATTTTTATTTTTTATTCAATGACACCATCTTCTAACTATTTTTATTATCACATCTCTCAGGTCTACGTAACTGGACGGCTCCGTTGGTCACTTTTTGCGATCATTGTGTCGCATTTGCAAAACGGTAAGTTACTATTAATTATTAATTACTATTTTCTATTCGCCTTTTTTTTATTTCTACACATTATAATTGTTTATTTACACACGCGCATACGTACATGTGTACAAGTTTGTTTCTTCTAATGTAAGGGTAGCTCATATTTATATGTGTTTACATATCTGTTTATGGTCACACCACCCTCACGAGATCTCTAAGAATGTTGGAGCTGTTTTAAAAAACTGGGATAGGGATTGGTTTTTTGGCTTTTGTAGTGTAGTCCTATTATATTGCAATATTGACTAGCATGACGTAGAGTGCAGGCGGTGAGATCTGTTGCAAGGACACGCCCCTGACGAGTGGCGTTAGTGCAGGTGTCGGGCTCTCCGAAACGTCATTGGTGATCGCAGTGCATTCCTGAGGAGGGAGATCACCATTTATCCACTACTAATTTTAATTGGTTATTATGGCACTAACATTTTTTTTAGCTCTTAAACCCATGTGTTTTTGCGCTTTGTGAGCTTTTTATTATGAATTTGTTACATTAACGACATTTATATATTTTTTATGTTACACAGGTGATTATCAGTTATCAATTTTTCATCTAGAGTTTAGAACATATATAGTACCACATTTATTAGACATTTGTATGGTGCGATTATTTTAGTTATGAATACCATTATAAACCAGCGGATTTTTATTGACTTGTTTACTTATAGATCATTATTTCATCATTTGTTAAAAGACGACTAGAGTGTGAGTTTTTATTCCCCTTTTCCTGAGTTGCTAACTTTTACTCTTCCAACTAAATAGTCTTTGCATTAATTTATGTTTTTTTTTTTTTTTTTTACCTAAATGACATCATCTTCAATCTGTTTTTACTTTCACATCTCCCAGGTCTACGTAACTGGACGGCTCCGTTGGTCACTTTTTGCGATCATTGTGTCGCATTTGCAAAAAAAGATCCAAAAAAGTAGGATCTTGGACTAACAACTTCTCATTCTTCATTTACTGAAATAATTATAAGTATGTAAGTATAAAAAAAAAAGCTTCTTGGAAAATATGAAACTTCAGGATTACAAAGAAAAGCCAGAATTCAAAATTTAAGTTTTCGACCAGTCATTCGTTTGACCGAATCGATCCATGGATTTGACTAATATGCTCAGATTAGGCATTTCAAATAAATTTTTTTTTTTTCTTAAATTCGCCTAAATATTTGGAGCAAGTAGCTAAAATTTTTAGTTTTTTTACTTTTTACTTAGTCATACTCTTTAATTAATTTAAAAATTTTGTCAGGGGGTAATAACCCCCCCCCTCCCTTGTGTCTGCAATGGGTTAAGGGGCGGGACGGGTTTTAAATTTTTAATTAATGATTAATTATGTGATTTCTATTATTATTTTTTTATATATCTTTATTTCTTATTATAGAACCACAGTTCTAGATGCAATAAAACGAAATCTTAAAGAGCAACTTTCAACAGTTTTTGCTAATTACTCGTGGCCGTGCGTCAGACGAAGTCTTAATCAGAGCGGCCTAGATAGGAAGAAAAAACGAAAGTAATCAACAATGCAATTGTGATTCTGTAATAATGATAATATGTGAAAAATTTTTTTTATACAAAATGATTTTTTTTTAATAAGAAAATGTTATTTCAAACTTTAACTTACCTATTATCAGTTTAAAAAGAAGAATAAACATACTTTCCTTCCAATCAAAATAAAAACCTAACTTCGTATGTTCTTAGTTTGGTTATTCGATTTATGATATTAATTATAAAATAATAAATGTTATGGTTCCTATCATTGGCGTATTAAGACTTTTCAGGGCCCGGAGTCCTTTTTAAGGTGCCACAGCATAAAAATGACTAAAACAGTAGAAAAAGAAAAAGGTCCGCTTAATAGTTTCGGAATCCCAAAATTTTAGGGCCCTAGCCCCCTCCTCTTTAATCTATCACTGGTTCCTATAGGAACCAGTGCTGGATTAAGGGGGAGGGCTACGGCCGTACATATACGAATCTAAAATTTTCCTTCAGCATCCTATAAGAATCCTGTTAATCCTGCAAGATATTTTAAAATATTCTTGTAGATCTTATATTATCTTACAATAATTCCTTCAAATCCTACAAAATCCTTCAAAAGATTCTTGTAAGTCCTGCAGGGACTTGTGCATCTCATTCTATAGGATTCTTGTAGGATTTGTAAGATCAGTCGTCTAGTGATGTCTGCAAAATCATTCTTGAAATGCGTAAAAGGTCATACTGCTTATTTTGGTTGCGATAGATGTGAAATAAAAGGAACAAATTTCAAACATCGCAGAATATATGAAGGAGAATCAACCTTAAGAACTAATGATTCCTTTAGAAATAGACGTCAAAAAGAACATCATTACGAAATGTCACCTTTTGAATCTATTGCCCATGTTGATATGATTAAGTTCTTTCCTTTTGACTACATGCACCTTTTTTGTAAAGGAGTATTTGTGCGTTATTTAGAAATTTTACGAAGCGGTCAATTGCCCTATCGTCTAAGTGTAAATGGCATGCAAAATTTAAACACCGATATATCAATGAGTCATGACTGCACCCCTTTTGAATTTCCCAGAAAACCACGTAGTATGAATCATCTTAATAAGTGGAAAGCAACTGAAACACGATATTTTTGTTTGTATATTGGACCGTTTTTATTGCAACGTCATGTGCATAAAGAATATTTCCATAATTTTTTGTTGTTATCAACAATATTTAGAATCATTTGTCATCCAATTTGGAGCATTTATTTAAACAGTTATTGTAAAGACCTAGTCAAAACATTTATTACAAACTCAGCACTTCTTTTTGGTCGTGAATTTATCACTATGAATGTTCATTGTATGCTTCATATTGTTGATGATTATAAAACATTTGGGTGTATTGATAACTTTAGTTGTTTTCAATCGGAAAATTTTATGCGATTTATAAGACAATTGGTTACATCGCTGAATCTTCCATTGCAACAAGCTGTAAATAAAGTGCTTAGCAGGGGTCAAAATTTAAGGCAGCTAAAACCAATTGCTTTGAAGCGAGTAAATTTTTGTAAATTATCATCGTGTATTTTTTTTAACGAAACTACAAAGATTTCATATTACGCTAAATGTTATTTTAAAACATTTTTGTTGTCAAATAAAAAACCAAATTGTTATGTTATGCTTTTAGACAAAAAGATTGTCAAGATACGTAGTATTTATAATACCAATCAAAATGATGATATATGGTTGAAGGCATGTTACTTATTAGAACAAACTGATGCGTATGATTATCCCCTAAAATCCTCTGCGTTGGATATTTATAAAGGAACGCATTTTTCCAAATCTTTAACTAAAGTTCCTATTAATTTAGTTTATTGTAAACTATTTTCCTACAAAAATAATTTTGCTCCAATTTTGCATACTTGTAATAGTTAAATTATATTATCTTAATAATACTATATTATCTTAATAATATTAGTTTTGCTAACAATTTGTTTTTTATTTATTTATTTATGCTTTATTTAGGTGCTGTAATTCCAATTACTATTTTTACATTTAACTATTAAATATGAAAATTTAAAAATGTGTAATTTTTTATAAATCATACAAAATATTACTTATTTAACAATGGTAAATTTATTATAGATGTATATTTTAATTGAGTTTGCTGACAGTTCTATAGCCGTAGCTTTACATTCGTGGCTAGAGTCGGATGAAGCTGACCAAAACGGCTTCCACATGGTTGCATTTCCCGATTTTAAGTATACAAAAACACGATATATGCTGAAGAATAAATTACCAGCACTAACTACATGGGAAACTGTTCCATGCAAAGTTTTATACAAACATGGTAAGTGTGCATAGTAATTAGGAAACTTAAAAAAAACTTAAAATCTAGCAGACAATAATGCTTGACTGATAGATTGGTAGGATGATTTGCTAGATGAATTAAGATTAGATGAACATTTTTAATACCAAATAGTTTTGTTTTTAATTCTGATTAACGTTTTTTTCTAGAATCTCTCAAAAATATTTATAAACACTGCAAAAAATACTCAGAGACTGGAAAATTACTTTCGACGGACTATGAAAATGGACGAACTCACAGACGACCTCTGTACCTATCGGACGAGGAATACGAAACAAATGACAAAAAAAAGTCAAAACTGACTCACAAAGAAAACGAAGTTGACTTAGCATCACCACCAACTCCACTAACAACACTGAATACGCAACTTCTTCATTTATTTCCAACTGCACCATCACTATTATATTCAGCATCTTCACAACCTTCTTCTTTGTTTTTATCTCAAAGTCCACCTCGTCCAACACTGCCAGTAATTGAAACTTCATTCGAATATTTTGGATTATCTGCATCAGTTCATACTTGCTTTAAAGCTCGACAAAAGACTCCAAGTTCGAAGGATAATGAAATTGAGAAATCCGATTTCCTCATTTCAAATACAGCTATGCGTTGTAAGTTTTTATGATAATTTGTTAGTTAGCATTAACCACAACAGTGGTTAGTTAGCATTAACCACAATGTTTTTTACCTAATCTGTTATTTTTATACTGACGTAGTCCCTAAATTTAATATGATTTTATTTGTTTATTGTAGCGTGGTTTCAAGAAATATTCACCAGTCTCATTCGGATTGAGGACACCCAAAAAACCCTAATGGGCATGGTGGTTGGTCTAAGCAACACCAAATCTGCTGTTAATGCGCCGGTGGAAGCTTTAAAATTCAGCACAACAGCAGACGAGCTGGATAGTCACCTGACTTATTGGCTGGACCTAAATGATTGTGAACGTCAGTCCTTGGTAACTTTAATTTAAAATAATCTTTACTTAAAGCTATAGTTTTAGCTAAATGTATGCAGTTAGTTTTTTCTATTTCCAATTTAAACTGTTATTGTGCCTATGTATTTAAATTAAAGATTGCATCTTTGTCCAATGTCACACTTGCATCACAAAATCTCTCTGGCAAGCTTTCTAGTATGTTGTTGGCCCTGGCACCCAGCTCAGTTTGGTCTTTATATAGCCGGGATGGGAAAAGAGGGAAAAGGAGTATTAGCCCAAGTATTCTTCCTATCATAATAGGTAAAAGTGATTGATTTCTATATCTATAACCTAGCCATGCTGTATTTTTTATTTATTTTGTCAAAAAAAAGTTATACTGTTGTAGTAATGTAATTTCAATAATTGTATAATTGGATACATAATTTTTTTTTTACCAATTCTATTTTTTTAAAGATGTAGATATTATTTTTATATTTTATAGATTCTCTGCAGCTAAGATCGCAAAAACGCATTAACGCCCATAAGGTGGCAGAGGCGCTCGGGGATCAATTAAAACGAATGCCAATGCATGCAAAACGCGCAGCAGTCAAGACAGAAGCCAGATTAATAGGCACACCTAGTCGGGCACCAAAGAAGGCTAATATTGCACCTGAATCTATTGGGAATGATAATTCTGACAATAACGCCTTTGATGATATTTGCAACGATGATATTTCGTTTACCAAAGACAGTGATTAGATGAAAAATGTACACAGATTATATTACTATGTTATTAATTTTTTTCCTTATAATAAACTTCTGAATTAAAGGCATTTTTCTGAACGTCATCAATAATTTTTATATGAAATAAAAAATGTATATGAGGAGGGGGGGGGAGGGTTGTTAGGTGCGAACGACCCCCTTTGTTTGCAAACTCTATTTCACGCAAGTTTTATATGTAAAATCTAAAAACAATTATATTTGCTATTCTAATCTTTTTTTTTTCTAAAAATTTTCACGTTACGGTGAAATAGTATTAACGTTAACTTCAATTTTTTTTACAAATTTTTTTATTTAATCAGCTTAACACTACTTGTGTTTTTATTACCCCACCAGCAAAAATGTGTATATAATGTGAAGTTTGTCAGATATAAATTTGAATGATCTTAAAGGTAAAATTACGGTTAGTATCAAGTGATCTTCGAATATGTTATATTTTTAGTTTGATTGTTATTTATTTGCTAAGTTTTTCATTTTACCAGTGTTTGTCCACTCCTCGCTATATATGAGGCTTACCCTTCCAGCTAAATGCTTTAGGCTGTAAGAGTATGTCTTGTCAAGAATGTTATCAATAATTAAACTAATCTTATATGATTACGGGAACACTTTTAAAATTAACGCATAAATCAACCAATTGGTTGCAACTTGTAAATTAAAATGGCGCAATATTTGAAAGTTGCCGCAGGTGATTATTAGGTCAAAATGTTACGTATTAATACGTTATATGTTACGTCTCGGTTACGTAAAAATAACGGACATTTTGCACGTAACGTTACGTTACAATGTTACGTATCGTTACGTAAAATGTTACGTCTCGGTTACGTAAAAATAACGGACATTTTGCACGTAACGTTACGTTACAATGTTACGTATCGTTACGTAAAATGTTACGTCTCGGTTACGTAAAAATAACGGACATTTTGCACGTAACGTAACGAATCTCATTTACGTTACAATACGTAACGTAACCTAAAAATGTTATAGGGGATAGAATAATTGCGTTTAATATATATTTATAAAATAAGAAAACTTTAAAATTTTATTTTAAATTTTAGAAATCTCTTTGCTATATTATTACTTTTTTGCTACAAATATATATATTATGCGGTAGTGGTGTAGTGGTAGAGCGCTCGCTTCATAAACGAGTGGTTTCGAGTTCGATCCCCACCACGTCCCTGGTAGTACCGCGCTCAACTCGTTTCTCCGCGCAGCGGCCTTGTTCGTCAAGGTTCGTGTTTCGGAGTTATAGAGTTGAGAGAGGGTTATAGCCACAAATAAGTAGCCTCCTCGTCTGTAGTGGCCTTCTCGGCCTTGAGGAGGTGAAATAAAATAAAATAAAAAAAAATATATATATATATATATGCAAAAATAAAAAAATTTCAAAATTTATTACGCAAAGAGGAGGTCTTAATCTGCAAAAAATAACACTGAGGACAGCGCACTTAACCACTGAGCTATTAATGAAATGCATTTAGCAAAAAAATAAACCTTATTATAAGTCTCTTATAAGCTCTACGTATGCGGAAAAGGTGCGCATGTTAATTTTTTATGCTGTTAAAGTTTTTTTTCAAAACAAATTTATTTTACTAAAAAGTATTGAAGTAAATAAGGAATAGGTATAAAAATAATTGGTACGGAAAAGATATGTATAGAAATAGTAGGTAATAGACTCGTATTTTACGGATCCGGAAAGCTAGGATATATAAGGAAAAAGTATAAAAATGTTTGGTTTTGAAGGAAAAATTCAAAAAAAATATTGCACTCTGATATACTAAAAAAAATACAAACTAAACTTAAAACGCATTTGGCAACTAACCCCTATAATATTTTAAAGTTACGTTACATCTTAATCGGTTGCAATTTGTAACAAGGTTACATTCTCTCCCTATTACATTTACGTAACGTCTCCCTATAACAGTTACGTAACGTCTTAATTGGTTACAAGGTTACATTTTCTATTTTTTAATCAAATATTATGCAAATAAACTTGATAATGCAGTAATTGTTTGTTTATTATAGCCGTACTGCTAGATAATATCTTTTATTTTAATTTTATTGTAAAATAGCTTCGTATCAATTGGTTACTTTGTCGCGAAAAAAAAAAAAAGTCTCAATACGCAACGTTACGTCTCAATTGTTGTTTTTTTATAGTTTTATAAAGTGTAACCAATTGATACGTAACATAACGTAACCCAATCTAGATTTGAGACGTAAGTAAAATACGTCTCAAACAAAGATTTTTTTAACATTATGCTACGTTTCAATTAGTTACCCTTTAAAAAAAAAACGTAATGTAACGTAAAAAAAATTATATTTGTAACATATTTTAATTACGTTTCAATTCCTAAATGTTTTACGTTACGCTATGTCTCGGTTGGTTATACTTTTAAAGGTAATAAGTACATTAGATTGCCAAAGTACCGTTAAATATTTTAATTTTTAAATGTACTTTTTTTTTTTTAGGTAAATACAACTTTTAAACTTTAAAAGTTGTATTTACCTTTAGGAAGTCTTTTTTAAAAACAAACTTACAAGCGTGGGTTAATTTTTTTTAATTTTTTAAAATTACAATAGTCTTGACAAACGTGCGTGATATTGCGTTTTAAATAATCAAATACATTAAAAATCAAGTTAATAAATATTATTGCATAGAGTTAGGACTAATGTAGTTGTAATGAAAACAATAACAATAACAATAATTATTGTTATTGTATTAACTTAATTTAGAAACAATAACAATACTTGTGATTTACAACCATTGTAATACTGTAATACAATAACAATAAATATTGTATTGCAATTCATCTTTATAAAACAATTACAATATCTGAAAAAAAAAAGTATTGTAATGACCCACTACAATAACAATAAATATTGTATAGTAATTCGTCTTTATAATACAATAACAATATATTGTTATTGTAATAAAAAAAAGTTATTTTAGTGTCAAAATTTAATAAATGTTTTAACAGTCCAGTCTCCAAGATAAGTGACCTTGAAATAGGGTACAACTAAATTATAAGTACTGATTCTGTTTCTTTTTTATTTACTGAATATCACTTGCTCTCATTGCAAACTTTATATAGCTCTATAAAAATGAGTTTAATCGAGGCTGTATTTCTTTTACTGCTGGGGATAGACTAATTATTACCATTTCTTCCACTAAGTTATTTGCTTTTACATTAGGCACTGATCCAATTGTTTCGAAACTTACTCAACTCACACTTACTCTAATATAACTTTGTCTTTTATTTCCCTAAGGCATAAAGCCTTGTATGTGTTTCATAAGGTAATGTGACATCTAGTTGCAAAGTTATAAAAGAGTTTTGTTACATAAATCAAGAACAATATTTGTTTGGTGTTTTAAACTGCCTCAATTTTCAAAAATAATACTCGCAATATTTACTGGTACGGTCTGATGAACAATCAGAAAATGTAGAAATTTTTTAAAAAAACAAAAATAGTTCACATTTTTAGAAAATCTAATCGATAATTACCGAGATCAATGGTTCTCTGATTCCATAACGATGTAATTGATCACACATTAGCGATTAGATATATTGAAAAAAATTATTTTCACGCGCTTAATGTAGTTAATCAATTAGTTTAGACGTCATCATCCGGTGAATTATGTCGATATCAGTTTAGACAAAATTATAAAAAAATAAAAAATTTCACTTCTTAAAGTAAATAATTATTTAATTACAAGCATATGATAAATTATGTATTTGTATGATTTTAAATGAATATTATTAATACTAATTCTAAATAAATTATTATTTAAACAGTTATATTATTGAACTCAAAATAAATAAAAAATATATATGCAAATGGTTGCTAGAAATGGGTGTCACGAGCGCCCCTGAACCTAATATTTATAAGTATGCGTAATATTTATACGGCTTTCCTGGCTTCACTTCTCAAAATAAATAATATATATATATCTATATATATATCTATATATATATCTATATATATATATATATATATATATATATATATATATATATATATATATATATATATATATATATATATATATATATATATATATATATATATATATATATATATATATATATATATATATATATATATATAAATGACTAATGAAAACGAGCGTCACGGGCTCGTTATCTATTGTATCTAAAATACAATAGCTATTAGACTTTGAAATAGTAATACAATACAACACAGTACTTATTGCAATTGCTTTTTATCCCAACAATACAATACAATAGTTATTATATTTGTTTTACATCCCAGCAATACAATACAATACTTATTGTAATTGTTTTAAATCACAGCAATACAATACAGTAGTTTTAGAGCTTCAATGTATTGTAAGAAGAAAGAAAAAAAAAACACAATAGTTATTGTAACTATTTTTATAGATTACAGTGTTACGTGTCATTAGGTCAAAATGTTACGTGTTGTTACGTAACATTTTTCACGTAGTGTTACGTAAAATGTTACGTCTCGGTTACGTAAAAATAACGGACATTTTTCACGTAAAGTAACGAATCCCGTTTAACGTCACAATATGCAACTTAACTCTAAAATGTTATAGGGGTCTAATTATTAATTAAATAAACTTGAAAATGTACTAAAGGTTTGTTCATCATTGCCATATTACTAAATACTATCTTTTACTTAATTTTTATTGTAAAATAGCTTCGTCTCAATTGGTTACTTTGTCACAAAAAAAAAAAGTCTCAATTTGCAACGTTATGTCTCAATTGCTTTTTTTTGTTTTTTTTTAAACTTTTTAAAGTATAACCAATTGAGATGTAACGTAAGGTAACTAAATTTAGATCTGAGTCGTAACTAAAACACGTCTCAAACATAGAATTTTTTAACGTTACGCTACGTCTCAATTAGTAACCCCTTAAAAAAAAGACGTAATGTAACGTAATATAAAAAACAGCCGTGGCGCAGTGGTTAGAGTTCTGGCTCAGAACCCAGAGGTCCCAGGTTCGACGTTAGCTCTAGCCCATCAAGCGACATTGGTACGGAAGGAGGCGTGAACTTCCTGTTAAATGCTTTCCC